TCCCGGCCTGTTCATATGCTGCCGCCAGGCTGCTCAGGCTGGGGTCTGGAGCTGGGGGTCCCAGCCACGGCGGCTCCTGCTACTGTGGGCGGCCAGACCTGCTGCTCTCTCCTGACCAGAGTTTGGAGGCTGCTGGGGCCTCCCCTGTTTCTGCAGCTCTCCGGGAGCTCTTGGGGCTCACAGCAGCCTTGCGGGTACCCTGGGGACTTGTGAGCCCCTTCTTCTGGAGCTGGGGGCTGGACTGGGCAGATTTCCTCCCCATGGAGGGGCTCTTGGAGCCCTTGGGCTTGGCTGCCTCCAGCGTCTTCAGGCCCAGGATGCTGCAGTAACGGTTACACTGGTGAGCGGCTGTGAATTGCTCCAGCAGGGAAGGGAAGCAGCTTTCCTTCAGTCCCTGGTACCTGCAAACACATCTATTCTCAGCCCCTGCTTTGCACCAGAAGACATCCTGACGGAGCAGGGAGCCGAGGATGGAGCCCGGCTGCACTCACTACCACAGCCCTTTGCCACATGAGCAGCGGAGCTGGGGACAGCTGGGGCCACCCTGCCCCAGCAGCTCGGGGTCACTCACCCTTTCCGGTTGGTAGCAATCCGCACATTGGTCATCTTCCAGCCCACTCCTGCAATGAAAGGGAGGACAACCAGTCTCTGCCCACAGAAAGACAGGCACCGGCACCAAGAGCAGGTCATCGCCCAGGGAGCTGGGCTCCGTGGCATGTGGGGAAAGAGGCAGGAGGGCAAGGCTGTGGCTTTTTCTCCTCTTTTCACAGGCCCGAGGGTGGTGAGGAGCCATGGGAATCAGATGGGAGATCCCTTTACCTTCCATGTCAGTCACGAGGATGTTTCCATTTGTCCACTGGTAGACCCAATGCTGGAAGGTGCAGCATTTGAGCACGATCTCTGAGGTGCCTCGTGTCACCAAGCTGCCATCTCTCTCCGTGACACAGTACTGCTCACAGGGCCCACCCAGGTCCTCCTCCATTGTGGCGTAAGGGATGTTGTTGGCCGGTCGGTAAATCAGGTACAGAGGAATTATCCTGCATGGGAGCACACAGATGGGGTCAGCATCAGCTGGTGAGCTCTCCCACCACAGCAAGTGGAGATTCACACTGCGGTACGCAACCCTGACTTTTGCCTTCCCCCACAATATCCCTTCCATTTGAGGTTGGGAGAAAACCACGCTGCCCTTTGGGATGTCCCCAGCATGCATGGGGAACCCTGTCACCATACCCTGGGATGCTCTGCCGGGGTGTCAAGCCAGCAGAGCTGCAGCACCTTACTTACTCGGGCACTGCTCCAAAATCAGGGACAGCTCGTGCCTCAGCAGCAAAGATCTTGCAGTACTCGCGGCTGGAGTTCTGGATTTTACATTCCTGGAGATGAAAACAGAAGAGTCAAGGACCTGTCCTGTCTTGCACCAACGCCTCCCTGCGACCCCCCGCCTGGCCAGGCATCCCCTGGGACCACTGCCAGTTGTTTCCCTGTCCTAGTGGTCAAAGGACAAGTGACAGGAAAGCTCCGAGCAGCTCCATGTTGCTCAGAGAGAAGAGCTGAAGCCAAGAATAACAAGGACATTGCCAGCCCACTGGAACATGGCTCAATCCCTCCAGAGCATTCAAAAAGTGGAAGGAAATAAAGAAAGTAGGCACAGACAGACAGGGAAGGTGTGGGAGGAGACCCACAAGGATGCCCACCTGGATGGTGATATCGTAGTTCTTCTCAATGAGGCTGTTCTCATTCTTGGTCCCAAAGACAATGAAATTGTGCACTTTGATGATGCAGGTGTGGCCGGACTCAAAGACGGGCTCCAGGCCGTAGATGGCTCTGGCACGGCAGGCTTTGCGCAGGAAACCAGCACCCACTTCCACATCCTCACTCACCACGCGCCCAAAGAGTTTATCCCCCCAGTACCCTGCATCAGCCAAACCTTTTGCGAACACCATGGGCGTCATCTCGATCTCCTCTCCAACTGGCAGAGGGAAGAGCTGGTGAGAGGGGACAACACAGGCACGTCCTGCCCCCACCACACAGCTGCCTGCCCCCCGCGCAGCAAGGGGCAGCAGTTGCAGCTCATCAGCACGTGGCCCTTACCTTCAATCTCTTCCCGTAAGATAAATCCTGACAGCACTAGAGGAGACAGAAAGCAAAGAGTTGTCAAGGTCCTGCCAGGATCCCACCCTGCCCCATGCACTTCCACACCAAGGGATGACAAGGAGGATGGTGTGAATCGCTCATAAATTAGCACATGGAGGCAGGTGGACATCACAGAGGTGGTGTTATGGGGCATGCAAGGCTCCCCCTCCACAGCCTGGCATCAAACCCTCTCCGCATTTCACCACGCCACCCCACAGCACACCCAGGCAGATAGGAAAGCTGCCAGGCTGCTGAGGGCTCCTCACCTTCTGGGCTGAGCAGAAAATCAGTGGAGTCAGTGCCGTACTCGTTGCTGATCACACACCGGTAGACTCCGCAGTCCTTCTGAGATGCCTGTACAACAGCCAAGGCTGCCTGGCCCTCGTCGCCAGCGCTGGAAGAAACCGGAGCATGGCCTCAGCCCTGTGTGATGCGTGGGGGCACATGGGAGACCCATCACAGGCACTGCGGGTGGGCACCGTGCTGCCCTTGGAGGGCTGGAAGAGGGCTACAAAGGAAGCCAGCCCACAGGCATCCCTGCTGGTCCCCTGGCACCTCATGGCATTAGGAGTCCTGCCCTGCAGTTTGTACTCACAGAGATGCTCATCTTCCAGGCAAGCCCTGCAATATCTGGCCAGGATTGGGCTACAGACTGGTAAAGGTACTTGCCTCTGAATGTGGCTGGGTCAGGGCTGTGCCTGGGCTAACAGACCCACATCTGGCTGGGACGGCTGGAAGCCAAACAGCCACAGAGGTGTCCAGCTTCATCTTCAGCTGTTCATGAGTGAGGGCAGACACCACTCCCCATCCTGCAGCCTGCCTCTCTCTGAAGGACCGGCAAAGCACAAGCTCTGTATGAGCTGGCAACACCAAGCTTTGGGCTGGCAGTTCCTCTAGCCAAGGTGGCAACACACCGGGCAGATGGGTCTCCACAAGAACCAAAAGCCTGTTTCTGGCCCGCATGGCCAATGTGAACCAGCAAGGGAATCACAGGCTGCAGAGGGAAGAGGTGGGACCCTCATCCTGAGATGTGCTGGCTCAGCAGGCTCTGCTCTGGTCAGCTAGAAGGCAATGGCCATTCCTGGTCCATCTGCCCCAGCTCAAACATCTGCCGTAGGAGATTGTTTCTGCCCCAGAAGCACCTCTTTCTGTCTGCTCATTATAAAGGGAGCTCAAGGGACACTCAAAGGCACCAGGCAAGTCCTATCCCATGTGGATGATGTTCCCACACAAGCTCCCTTGGGCTTGAGAACAAGTTGCTCCCCATAATGCACCCAAAGGAGCATCCAGGATACAACAAGCCACCCAGTTATCCAAACATGCCCTCCCTGTGCAAGGGCAGTGCCAAGGGATAGAGAGGGCACAGCCAGAGTTGCTTTTTCCCTGTTGGTGCTTGCCAGTGGTAGTTGCATGAAAGTGCCTGCTCGGGTGTAGTGTGCAGACCCTCCCAGCACTTGGGGTCCCGGTTTTGCAGCTCACACCCAGCTCGCAAAGTCTGAGATGGGTGCAGCACCTTCCCTGCCCTCCCCGAGGTTCAGGTTCAGCCCCTGCTCTCCCCAGGGCTCTGCTACTCAAAGCATTGGCCCTTAAGCCAGGCTCCAGATGGAGCATCAATAGGACAAATTTGGCAGCAATTCCCCATCTAGGCTCCCCATCACCTCCCTTTCCAGACACTGAGAAGATAAAGTTCACAACATACCGTGCCATGCAATGAGCTTCCCATTCAGCCTTAACAGAAGGGGCACCTTCAACCCAGTAAACGCAAGGAGCTGGATTTAACACACAAACCCAGGGCTATGCACAAGGACTACAAGAAAGCAGAGCTGGCAGATTACCTCCTTTGGGCTTCTGCTACAGGGATCTCGTCCTTGTACCACAGCAGCTTAGAATCACTCAAAATATTGAAGAACTGGCACCAAAGTTTCAGGTTTCCTGATGCATCGGAAAATTGTTCTGCCCTGATCTTACGAATCACCTGTGGAGCTAAGGACAGGGTACAAAGAGACTGATGGTGAGACACAGTGCTGGCTGCAGCTCCGGGGAGAGGCCAGCCTACCCCAGTGCTGCTGCTTAGGACTTTGGTGTTGGGTATCACACATATGTCAGCACAGCCTAGTATAACATCACCTTCCCAGGGAAGGTCTCAGAGCTCCGCTTGGATACATACAGTGGGATACAAGTGGCACAAATTTCTTCAACAGCACAGCGCTGCAATATCTACTGGGGCTTGGACAGAGGCAATGCAGAAAAACACTATGCAATGTTGGAGGAAACGTTTTTCTACTGAAGTAGGGATTTATCGAGGTTACCCTTACTCTTCCAAGAGTGCTGATTTCTGTGAGCGTATCACCTGGTTCCTGCAAGCACTTCAACACCAGGATTATGTCTTTTCTAATTTGATGCCACAAAGGATCAAATTAACATTGACCATGGAGGCGGAAAAGGAGCATGCACCCCGCTGATGCCCACTGGACCCTCGACCAGCATGAAGCATGGTAAGGACCAGGACATGCAGACTGAGAACAAGAGGATTATATGATTCCTTTGGCCAGGGAAGTTGAGGCTGTGGAGACAGCCAGTCTCAGCGCTGCTGCCTCTTGCATTCCTCTGCCCTCCCTGCGCTAGGGAAGAAGTCTTGGGGCAGACTTTTGGCTTTCACATGGCCAAAGGGTGGTGCTGAAAACCCTGCAAATGCACAAAACTCACGTGGCCTCAGCTGACTATCACCGGCTCAGCTGGCCAGGCTCCTTTGGTAAGGACCAAGGAAACATGCTTCATGGGGATTACCTCTTCCCTTACCTTTAAATGGGTTATTTGCTTTCTTGGACTCTGCTGGCAGTGCTTCTGGCTTTGCATCTTCAGGGACCTCGTGGTCACCACTGCTGTCACCTGTTGTTTCCTCATACAGCTTAGGAACCTCCAGTGTGGCCATCTTCCTTGTGAGGGTTGGAGAGTGCTGCTCTGCGGGAGGGGACGGAACCAGGGCAGGCGATTGCAACAGGGCTGCATTCTTCCTGGATTGCCGTGGTGAAACGGTAGGACTTCTCACATGCCCTGGGCTCTCTGGGGTTGCCTCCTCTTCCTCCCCCACCTGTTTGGTTTTTGGCAGGTATATTTTGCGCCGGGCCCCGGAAGCAAGCTCCTCTGGTGTGGCACAAGGTAGCACTGCCTGGTCACCAGGGCTGTCTTTTTTAGGGCTCACTGGAGGCAAATCAGAAATATTATTAGGAGGCTGCTCTGCTCCTGCTGTCAGCATGCTGCCCACCACGATGGAGGGCACAGAGAGCTGGGGTTGCTCCTCCGCCTCAGGAGCGACCCGGGTACGTCTCTTTGGTGGCACAGGCCTGCAAGCCAGCATCTCCTTGCTGGTAATGAATTCCTCGTTAATCATGCCTGTGATCCGCCTGGATGTCCTGGGGGTCAGCGGCAAGCTCTCTGCTGTCTGGAAGAGCTGATTGTTTTGTACCTTTTCCAAAACTCTCCTTGAGGTGCGGGGGCTCAGGCCTGCAATGCCTATCTCTGGGAGCATGACTTCCTCTGCATCAGGCTGCTCCTTCTCTCTGGGATCAGTGTCTTCTTTTGTGGCATCCTTACTGCTATCTGACATTTTTAGAAGCAGCAGCAGATAGTTCTTCAAGGAGGAAACAAGTTTTTTGTGCTGCATCTTCTCCTCCAAAGACATCTCCTGAGGTCTCTCAGGGCTAGGCAGGACCAGTGGTACTCGTGGCTGAACCTCAGCACCTCCTTCAAAAGTGCCTGAAGGTGCTGCTGGTTCCTGGAGCGGAGCTGTGGCTATTTGCTCTCCTCCTTCCTTCCCCTGAGGTCCCACAGGCACTGGTTTGGCACTTTCCTCCCCTAACACACTGGCTGAAAACTTCTCTTGCAGGGCAGATCCATCTGTCTTTTTGATTTGTGTTTCTCTGCTTGCAGGAGGCAGCAGCTGGGCTCCAGACAGTACCTCTCCTGCTGTGGCTTCCAGCCCTGGGACACTGTGAGCTGCAAGCGGTGCCTCCTGAGCCACTGACATCTCCACTGCAGGAGCAGGAAGTGGCTCTTCCTTGGCAAGTCGAACTGAAGCAGGAGCTGGCGTTTCGGTCTCCTGATGTCCCAAAGGTGTCCCTTCCACCTCCCTGTGCGCAGCCCCAGGAGATGGCTCTGCTTCACCACTCCCTCCTGCCTCTGCACCAGGATGGCTCCCGGACAGCTCTGCTCCTGCCTCTTTGCTTTTCCCATCCTTGACTGCTGTCTGATGGGTGATTTGCTCAAGAGGAGCGTTTTCTCCAGGCTCTGGAGGACTCAATTTCTTTAGCAATGGCTCTTCCTCACCTTGGCTTTTGTCCTCTTGATTTAACAGTCCTTGTTGGGCCTCTCTGCCCTCAAGAGCACAGGAACATCCTTCTGCTTGCTTCCTAGAGGGAGGGTGCTCCTTGCTGGACTGCACATGGGCTGGAGAAGGTGGTGATGGCTTTGGTGGCTCCTGAGGCCTCAGCCGAGGATTTGTCCTTTTCCCAGCCCCCCTGGCCTCCTGGCAGACAGGCATCTCTTTCCTGAGCTCCTCTAACTTATTGGCTTGCTGACCAGTCTCTACAGTTGGAGTGGACACTGGATATTTTAGGTCACTAGCAGACTGTCCCACTGTTGCTGCAACCTAGTCAAAAAAAGAAAATAGAAAAATAGCATCATTTTACTGCCTGGGTCTGCTCAGCGGTGCTTGTGGTCCATCTGTACCATACGGCACTGCCCAACTTCTGCTTGAATCCTAAGTATTAACCTGATATCACTGATACTCACTCATTGAGGACCTCCTGGCTTCGCCATCGTCCCACGGTAGTGGGTCCCACAGCCCCCTGTCATGCTGCGCAAAACGTTTTTTCCTTTAATTGGCTCCAACTCTTCTGCCTTTCAATGCCTTGGTTGTGCACAAAGAGGCAGGATATCTGCCTCTCTAAAACATTCAGTGGCTTTTAATTCAATGTCCTCTGAAACGGCACCTTCCCAAGGAGCAAAACTTTCCCATTTTCACCAGCCATTGCCGAGACTTTGTATAATTTCCTTGCTCTTTTTTAAGACTCAGTGCTCCCCCTATACTATATCTGCAATCTCCACCTTGAGATGGGGCGATCAGTATGTCACACACTATCTGGGTGAGGCTGTCCAAGTGATTTATAGTGAAACTGTACACCGTGACGTTATCTGCGCTATTCGACCATCCTGTTTCTTTGACATTCGGGAAGCTCAAATGTTTCCGACTGCAGCTGCACACCAGCAGACGTTTCAGCAAGCTGCCCGCTGTGACGGCTGAGCTTTATCCCAAGAAGATCTGGTGAAATCCTCCAGCCAAGGAGCACTATCTATTTTTGTAGGATAAGGCTCAGGGGAGGCAGCGATACCACTGATACATGCTGTGCCTGGCTGATGCTCAGCTAGCAACATCAGGACAATTGCATGGGAACAAGGCATGCACACAACAGGTTCCCCTTCTGTCCCAGAGGATCTGCTGCTAAGGATTTTCTCCTGAGGTCTTTGACTTGAGCTTTAAGCCTCCAAAATGAGGTCCATGGGAAAGGAGGGCTGTGGCACTTAGCCCTTCTATTTTGTGCCACTTCAGCTTCGTTTGAATGCTTGGAAAAAACAGGAAAGGTAATGCAGCCTCTCAGCAAGCCCTTCCCCAAGCAACTGTTATGACAATGTGAGTATCAGAGGACTGGGGTGGGATGAGCAGCATTAGCAGGGGCCATTCCTGCACACAAAATTCAAGTCTGCTTCCTTGGTAGACTCCAGAGGATGCCAAAGGCCAGGCAGTTTCTGTCTCTGCACACAGGACATGCAGAAATAGGGCCCCAGTTCACAGGGCTGCACAGGCACCCCCAAATGCCACACGTCCCTACTGCTGTTCCCCTAGAGCCACATACCTAGCCTGCTTTGACGGGCTGAGTGTCAACACAGAGGACCCCAGCGCTCAGGCTTAAAAGGTTTTATTTTAAGAGACAGACAGGCTTCATGCAGTGAAACCCCCCTGGGTTTTACCACAGTATTTGGTCCTCCGTAGCATGGAAAGGGATGGGGATGGACACAGCCCAATCTAACTGCAGGGCCAGCCCTGGTCCCTCTGCTTGGGGGGCTGAGCAGCACAATGCCCAAGGGGGCTGGAGGTGGACCAGGGCTGGTGGTTCACAGATGGATGCACAGAGGTGGCTCTACGCAATGATGCTGGTCAATGGGGACACCTCTTTGGCTGAAGAGGACTTGGGGCTTGGGAGAAATTTGCTTATCATTCGTGCACAAACTAAAGCTTATTCAGAAAAGCTTTCTGGGAGCTTTTCAGAAAAGCATCTGTCCTTAAGTAATCGGAAAATACTCAAACTAGGAGCATATAAAAGAAATATAATAAAATCATCAGTTTCAAAGTTAGGCAAGAGAGATCATCACGCAAATCCAGTTTCTTCTCTGCTCTTGTGCGTGAGGTTGTTCAGAGCCTGGCTATGGTCTGGCATTTTGCAAAGCCCTTCTGCTACAGATAAATCCAGCTCAAAAGAGAAGTCCTGAGCATGAGGCCCAGCAAGGTCCCAAGGCCAGGAAAACACTCATGCTACGACCCTGTCTTGTTTAAGGGAAAGACTAAAAAATAAAAAGACAAGCAACCCGTGTCCTGGGGAGTGAAAATATCCTCAAACACATCGGGAGTCAGCTTTAAAGGGCTTTAAAATAGCTTATTTGGTCACACAAAAGCCTGAGCACTTTCCCCAGCATCACCAACTAGCTGAAGCATTCAAATTCAAATCAAAAGCATTCTCTTTTGTCTACTCAAAGGCACACCAGCTGACAAGTTACAGGTTTCCCTCTGTGAGTGGGTTTTTGAAGAGGAAAATACCTTGATGCATGTCAAAGGCTCAGGGATGACAGCCCAAGCCTGGCTGCTACACACCAGCACTTTCCACCCTCCTTAAGAGCAAGTGGTGTAAAAATGAGCAGAGAGGGAGAAAAAGAATTGCTTTGCCATAGGCCTGCACGCACAGCCATAATTTCTGCAGCAATATGTGATGCTGATGGATCAGGTTAAAGATGGGTTCAGGGCGCTGCACTGTGGCGAGGCCAGGACCCAGATGCTCACTTCACTGGATAACAGCAGGTTTCTTACCAGTAAATGGTGCTCCTACGTACAGCTAAAGAAATCTAGAAGAGGAAGAAAGGAATTTTTTTTAACTGGAGCACCCAGCAGTCCCACTTTTCGTATCATGGATGTTCCCACATCCTGAGGTATTTGCATTACCTACCAAGGGAGACGTGCTGCACCCGGAGTGCCTCCTCTGATAGCCTCAGTCTCTACTGAAAGCGTGCACCTACCATAGCTCAAATGCCAAATCCTGACGGCACCTGCAAATTGGACTCAGACAACCTTTTACCACAGAAAGGGTCATTAAAGAAAAAAGGAAAAAAAAAGTCTGGTAGCTTCCAGTCTAGTATTTTCATGGAAAATGCTTCAGGTTAAGCGACAAAAATAGAAGTTGACTAAAAGATGCAGTGAGGGTCAGGAGCAGGTGCTGTGCCCTGGCGCTGCATCACCACCACAATGAGTCTTGCAACAGAGTTTTTCCAACAGGGAAGAGCCAAAAAAATAGTCCAGATCTACTGTATACATGTTGCACTGTAAACAAAATTCAATGCCCTGCCCAGGACAGCTCATGTGGCATACCTGGCACACTGCACTCATTTGCATGGGGGGCTCATTAAACACCGGCTGAAGCTAAGGCTCAATTGCTAAACTGAACAGATGTCATCAGTCTCGCTGCCTGTTGTATGCACAAGGCATCCACCCCCAACTTTAAATAGCCATTCAGTGCTCTCTGCTTAACTGATTTGGAAACATTTTGCATGAGGTCAGCCTGCCAATTAAAGAGGAGAGCCCACAGCATGCCCCAGGCCACCCGGAGATCAGCTGCTCAGCCGGAGGGCCCTGACGTACATCTCTCCTCACCACCTCATCTGACATTTATTTGGAGATGGGGTGGAAGCTCTGCTGCCTGGGCACACAAAGTCCAGAAAGCCCTTTTTCCTGGGTGCTTTTGCCAGTGGAGACCTACAAAGCCTCGGCAGCAGATCCTGTGGGGTACACGCAGCCTCCCAAGGCTGCTGCCACAATACAACTGTGCGGCACAAATATTTTCTTGTTGCAACCCCTGCGTTGGCTGCTTTCTGTCCTAGTTACCTCTGGACTGATGGCTTTGTTTTCCTCTGACTTCTGTGCTTGGTGCTGGCCTCTCTGTCCCTCAGACGGCACAGGTCCTGCCTCCGACACCTCTGAGGACGACGGAGCATCCTCCGTCTGTCTGCTGACTGCCACAGGCTGCAGGGCAGCCTCGCTCGCAGCCTCTTCCTTGGCTCCTGCCTCCTCCTTCCCTGCTGCTGGCTTTGCTTGCTTATCAAAATACATCTCTTTCAAAGAGAAGTGCACATCGCCATTGATTTTAGTGTCCTGATTCACAGCTTTCCCGGGCTCTTTGATTTTTGGACCGTTTTCTACTTCTTGATCATTTGCCACCCTCAAACGTGCATT